AGCACACTGGAAACAGAGCTTGATCTCACCCGAAAGGCCAAAACACTTCTTGAGGAGGAACTCGCTGCCGCAAAGAAAAAACTTCAATACGCCACGGAGCAAAACAAGGAGGCCGAGCAAGTCATCGTAAACTTCAATAGAAGGCTTCAGGACCAGTTCTCGACAATTCAGGTGCAGAAAGCACAGATAGACTTCCTGCAACAAGAAGCAACAAGAGCATCTGTGGCAATCACAACGTCCAAAGCAGCGCCTGCTAACAGGCGCCCGGAAGGAGGAACTGGAGACAAGGAAACAAAAAATGGAATGCCCCCCGAAACGCCAGACATAGCAGAAACAACCACGGCGACGCAACACAACGAGGCACAGGCTGTACGAGAAACCGTTCAAGCGCTGTCAGCGGAAAATGTCAAATCACAGGTCGAAGACAGGGGAAAAGCGCACAAAACAGAAGGGGAAGTACCCCAATTTCCACAACAGCTGTCGGCGGCGCATGCAGCGATTGACCAGCTGTCCGCTGAGCGCAGCGCACAAGCAGAACGTGTGGCGGAGCTGACGGCAGCCGTTGCCCGTCTGGAGAGCAGTGCGGATGCCCCTGAGCGTGTGGTGGAGGCGCTTAGCGCGGAGCTGCGTGAGACACAGGACCGCCTCCGCCAGGCCGAGGAAGAGGCCAGCCAGCTTGCTGAGAGAATTGGCAGCTCGGAGGGACTTCGTGAGTCCGCTGTTGCGACCCGGTCCGCCGAAACCTCGCTTGCAGCACGGCTATCGTCTGCGCTGAAGGCACTGGAGCAGCTTGCTGAGGAGCGTGAGACCCTGGCTCGGGGCTCCGCTGAGCTCGAGGAACGTGTGAGGGAGCTTGAGCAGGCACTGCGGGACGCGGAGAACTCCTTGTGTGTGAGGGAAGGGGAGTTGTTGAAGTTGGGTGAGGAGTGTAGTGCCAAGAGTGCTTTGTTGTCAAATGCGTTAGCGGCTGTGGATCAGGTTGTTCAAGAGCATGCATCGGCGGAGACGTCTTTTGAGGAGCAGACATCGAGTCTCGTTAAAACATTTGAGGTGTTGCATGGACAGTTCCTGTTGACAAAGAAAGGGTTTGAGGAGCAGTGGGAACGGAGGGCTGAGGCATGTACCGCGGAACTGTTGGCTGCGAGACGGAGTGCCCAACGGGCGAATGAGGCTCGCAAGCGAGCGGAGGAAAATGCTGCCATTTGCATGCGGAAGGTAGAAGAAGTAAATGCGGAGTTGATGAAGGCGCAGCGTGACTACCGTGCTTTGGAACGACTGCTGCGTTCGAGTGGCCGTTTGTCGATTTCACGTGTGGAAAACAATGATGGAGAGGAGCATGAGCGTGAGATGTCGTTTACGCCCACGTTTTTGCGAAACACCGAGGGCGCTGAGCTTGCGCAGTTTCTCCAGATCTCGAGCCTGCAGGCGGATCTCATGCTGTCGCGCAGCACTTGCCACAGGTTGGAGGCGCGCCAGTTGGAGCTGCAGACGGCGTTGGAGCAGTGCGAGTGGCGGCTTGCCAGTCTTCCACCAGGCGTGGAGGAGAGCCATGCGGAGCTGCTGCGGGTGCGGGGACAGCTGGAAAACCATCAACTCGAATACCATCGGTTGGAGGGTAGGTACAAGGCATTGAAGCGGCAGCGGGCGGAGGAGGTGGAGCAACTCCAGCGGCAGAACGAGCGGTTGGTGCAGCAGCTCCGCGAGAAGCGGGACAAGATCGGCAGTTTATCCCGGCAGATGCGGGATTCGGAGGTAGCGGCGAAGCAGCAGGCGGAGGAGCTCGCGCAGGCGTTTAATCTGCTGGAGACGCAGATGCAGGCGCTGCGGGAGGAGGTGGAGGGTGGCCAGCCGCGCGGCAGGCAGGCGAGACGCCAGGGCGTGGAGGAGACGACGGAGGCGGAGGGCAAAATGCTGCGCGGCCGCATCACGTTTCTGGAGCACACGCTGAGGCAGAAGGAGACGGAGATGCATCGTCTGCAGGAGGAGCTTGGGCGCAATGAGGCGCAGCTCGACCAGTTCGAGGACCAGGTAACAGTCGCCACGCAGCGGCTGGAGAACACGGCACGAAGGAGCACGCACCTCGAGCAGAAGGTGCATGAGCTGAAGCGGACAAATCAGGAGCTGCGGGAGGAACTCGGCGCCGTCAGGGCGTGCGTGGTGGTCCAGGCGGAGCGGCGATCCCCGCAGCGCGCTCCATCCACCGACGTCTTGCGCGAGGCGTTGCACGGCGGCAGGGCGTCAAGCCTCGCATCCACCCCAACACAGGGTGAGCGGGAGGGGCGTGCAGCATCCGCATTGCCCCGCGCAGCCACAAAGCGACCACGTGCCATAGACGCATCATCGTGACCGTTTCCGTCCACAGACGTACGCACTACCGGCGGGAGCAAACGCATTTCTCGTCACGCACCAGCCAGACAGACACGGGGGCTATGGGCTTTGGTGCGGGTACCATTGAGGACGAGAAGACGGGAAGGAAAGAAGTGAAGCGAAGAGAAACAGCAAAACGAGGCCGAAGAGACAACTTTCTCATCATGCAGAAAGGAATGGGCCCAGTAGAAATGAAAGTAGAGGGAAATAAAAAGAAAGACAGACGAAAAGAATATCTGACGGACGGGCTGCATGGAACTTGGGGTTCATGCGCATCGTCACGATGTTAAATTTAACACACGCTGACGACAGCAGAAGTAAACAACACCACAGAGACTGAGCCGTTACGATTACTTTGATCATGCAGTGGTGAATAGAAAACAAACGGTTTGTTGTCCACCTCCGGTCCATGCAATGTATATGCATATATATGATATACATTAGCGAGAACGGCAATCCACAGAACGCCTTTCAGCGAGGAAATCAACGCAATGAAAAAGAGAGAGGGAGCAACGCCGAGTGTGGCCACCCAATCAAACTATACGTGCTTCTGCCTTTGTTTTTTCCCCCCTGTTTTTGTTTGTTTTGCTGCGGACGAGCACACGCAAAAAGTTTCACGCTACCACAGCAAGAAATCGTAAAAAAGTAAAAATAAGTATCAACAAGGAGTCAACAAAAATAACAGTAAGGAATGCCGCCGACCATTCACAGGAATCTGCTGAGCCCCGAGCTAGTGCAGTGGGCGCTTAAGATTGAGAAGGACTCGCGTCTGACGGCCCGAGGCGCTCTGGCAGTAATGTCGTACGCGAAGACGGGACGCTCGCCGTTGGACAAGCGCATCGTTGACACGGACGACGTGCGCGAGAACGTGGACTGGGGCAAGGTGAACATGAAGCTCTCGGAGGAGTCCTTTGCGAGGGTGAAGAAGATTGCGAAGGAATTTCTTGATACACGCGAGCACCTGTTTGTGGTGGACTGCTTCGCCGGCCACGACGAGCGCTACCGTCTGAAGGTGCGCGTGTTCACGACGCGCCCGTACCATGCACTCTTCATGCGTGACATGCTGATTGTGCCGACTCCCGAGGAGCTTGCGACGTTTGGCGAGCCGGACTACGTCATCTACAACGCTGGTGAGTGCAAGGCGGACCCGTCGATTCCCGGCCTGACGTCAACGACGTGCGTGGCGCTGAACTTCAAGACGCGCGAGCAGGTGATCCTTGGCACGGAGTACGCTGGTGAGATGAAGAAGGGCATCCTGACGGTGATGTTCGAGCTGATGCCACGAATGAACCACCTGTGCATGCACGCGAGCGCGAATGTGGGCAAGCAGGGCGATGTGACGGTCTTCTTTGGACTGAGCGGGACCGGAAAGACGACGCTGTCGGCAGACCCCCACCGCAACCTGATCGGCGACGACGAGCACGTGTGGACGGACCGTGGCGTGTTCAACATTGAGGGCGGCTGCTACGCCAAGGCAATCGGCCTGAACCCGAAGACGGAGAAGGACATCTACGACGCCGTGCGCTTCGGTGCTGTGGCGGAGAACTGCGTGCTGGACAAGAGAACGGGGGAGATCGACTTCTACGATGAGTCGATCTGCAAGAACACGCGCGTTGCTTACCCGCTGAGCCACATCGAGGGCGCGCTGAGCAAGGCCATTGCTGGCCATCCGAAGAACGTCATTTTCCTGACGAACGACGCCTTTGGCGTGATGCCGCCCGTGGCTCGACTGACGAGCGCGCAGGCGATGTTCTGGTTCGTGATGGGCTACACCGCGAACGTCCCAGGCGTTGAGGCTGGCGGCACGCGCACTGCTCGCCCGATCTTCTCGTCGTGCTTTGGTGGGCCATTCCTCGTGCGCCACGCGACGTTCTACGGCGAGCAGCTGGCGGAGAAGATGCAGAAGCACAACAGCCGCGTGTGGCTGCTGAACACTGGTTACGCTGGCGGCCGCGCGGACCGTGGTGCGAAGCGCATGCCGCTGCGCGTCACGCGTGCGATCATCGACGCGATCCACGACGGGACACTCGACCGGACGGAATACGAGGAGTACCCCGGCTGGGGCCTGCACATCCCGAAGTACGTCGCCAAAGTGCCGGAGCATTTGCTGAACCCACGCAAGGCCTGGAAGGACGTGAGGCAGTTCAATGAGACGTCGAAAGAGCTGGTGGCGATGTTCCAGGAAAGCTTCAGCGCGCGTTTTGCCGCCAAAGCGTCGCAGGAGATGAAGAGTGCCGTCCCGCGCTACGTGGAATTTGCGCGCCTGTAAGTAGGCAATCAAATTGCCAATAAGCGGGTTGTAACCTGCTGAATTAATGTGGTCAGAAGAAAATGCTCTTTTTTTCCCGTTGTTATTGGGGGAGAGGGATAGATGTGCTTCTGCACGGTAGCTAGGAACTTTTTTTTTTTTAAGTTTGAGTGCGTGGTGGATTACAACAGGGAGACGCTTTTTGAGTTTTTCGTTTTAATACGATTTTTTTTTTTTTTTGTTCCTGCACGCTATTCCCGCCTTTTCTTATTTAAATTCTGAATACGAATTATGTCTCCGTTATTTATAAAAAAAAAAAAGAAAAAAGCATGAAATTCCAAAGTGCCATGTATTATTTTGTTTTTTTTTCCCTCTTTTATTGTTTTTAATGCGTAAAGAAGCTTCATCTAATTTTTTTTTTTTTTTGTTTCACGTTGGGTGGTGGAAATTTCTTTTCTCCTTTTTTTTTTGTTTGGTTGTTTGTGGAACGCCTTTTTTCTTTAAAAAATTTTTATTTTATTTTTTCTTTTTTGTTGTGGACAACTTTTTTTTTGTGTGTGTGTGTGTTTGTAGAGGAGTAGCGAAGAGCCGCCACATTATTTCATCAACATGTCATTGTCAAAAGGGGAGCACTTGAAGTTGTATGAGGGGGATCTCATCGACTCCCGCTTTAGGGTGCTTCGTGAGTTGGGCGCCGGTAACTTTTCAAAGGTATACTGCTGCCACGATATAACGCGGCAGCGTGACGTGAAGCGTGCGCTTGTGGCTGTGAAGATTGTTAAGCGCGAGTACATGGAGGATGCCTACTTTGAAAGGGATATGCTGGATGTTTTTCGCCGCAAACGCGCGGAGGGCCCGATGGTTTGCCGGATGATGGAGTTCTTTGAGTGGCGGAAGTGTCCGGTGATTGTCATGTCAATTCACGGCCCCTCGCTACGCACGCGCCGTCTTGGTTTTAAAAATGGCGTGGTGACACGAGCAAAGTTGGTGCAACTCGCATACTCCCTCCTGACGACGCTTCGGTACGTTCACTTCGATTGTCAGATGGTACACACGGATATGAAGCCGGATAACATTCTTTTAGCGGACCTGGACGCCCCCAAGCATTCCTTAGGCAGTCAGTGGGTGGTGTGTGACTTTGGCAGCGCCTCGCTATGGCGCATGGATCAGCTTGACGCGGACTTGATTACAACCCGCCCGTACCGTGCGCCTGAGGTTGTACTTGGCAACCAGTGGTTTTACGCCGCCGACATGTGGAGTATGGGGTGCATTCTGTTTGAGGTTGCCACGGGGCAGCGGCTGTTTGATGTTCGCGACGATGTTACGCACTTGCAGTTGATGGAGAAACGCCTAGGACCCCTACCGGATTTATTTACGAGGAATGCAAAGCATTCGGCGAAGTACTTTACGTCAAGTGGGAGTTTTATAGCGGAGTCCGAGTCCATCCGGGCCGGAAAAGTGAGCATGCGAAAACTGAAGGATGTTTTCAGCGATGACCCCGAGCTGTACGAGCTGATTTCTGCCATGCTGATCTATGACCCAATGAAGCGTCTCACGGCAAAGGAGGGTTTGCAGCATTCCATATTTGACGGCATTCATTTGCTTAGTAAAAAGACGGATGCCATTGATAATAATGGGCATAATTTGAATGGGAATTCGATTGCTTTTTCGCCATCGGTGCTGCATAGTCACATTGAGGGGAAGCTTGACACGGGATCAAAACAACTCGAGATTTTATCTGGCGTAGGCGGGAAGATTGTGACAAGGCGTGGAAGTTCTGTCCCGGCAATTTCTATTGACAACAACACCAGTTTGAATCCACACCCACCGAAGCGTCTTGGGTTGAAATTTGTTGGTAAAGCGCCGCGGGTGGGAGGAACAACATCACGGGCTTTTATTTTTCAAAAAGCACGACCACAGGATTCTTCTGTGGTGAATGTCGAACCACCACGTTGCCTCACTCCTGAAAGGGGAGAAAAGACGAGCCCGGATAATTCACATCCTTCTGGAAGTTTTGCCTCGTCTCATGGAAATGATCAGACCCACAAGATGCGTCGGTTTCCTGTGGTGTACGCATCACCTATAGACATGTCAACGGAGAACGAGACACTGGTGGAAGGCATAAGTAAGTTGTGTGAGAAATCGGTTTTTGCTTCTTCCAGCAACACCTCGGAAGGGGATTCTTTGGTCCGCAACCCACCTGGACCATTCCCTATTGTCATTCCCACGCCAGAGAAGGTGTTGTCTTCTGCAGATTGCTTTAGCGAATACACCAACCCTCATCGGGAGCGAGATCAGCCGCCGTTGAAAGTGTCTGATATCTCACAGAGCGAAAAATCGCTGGGTGTTTCTCAGGTGGACGATACCGCGGGTGCCGGATCTCCGTTGGGGCCATTGACACATGGGATAAATATGAATGGGCTAGTGCTACCAACGGAGTGCGAGAGCGAAGTGAACGTGGGGAATGTCTTGCGACCATTTCCGTCCCACCCATTGTCGTGTTTCTCAGCCACCCTCAATTCTCTTGATTTAAACGCAGCGAAGGGTGGTTCCGATTGGAAGGATTCGACACGGAAGTCGGGATTGCATGCACTTGCCACACGGGAAATGAAGGGTGGGTGCAATAGTCTGACCTTACATCCGGCTCACACAAATGTGAGTGAATTGAGCTGGCTGTCGAATTCTATTTTGCGGCCGTCGACATCATCGTTACCGCCATCTCATGCGCCTA